CAGCTAAGCTATAGCCCAGCTATAAAGGAAACAGACGTACAGCACGGAACACGTCTATTCAGTACGGATATTGCGGATAAAGTATACACGCAGGGAGCTTAATCATGATCAGGAAGGCAGATTAGGTTAAACAAACAGAGGCTATTGATTGGCCGCAGTTTGTACGGTCGCTGTACACAGAGTCGTACGGCCGCATCTCCCCATCCTGGCGTGCAGGCATGAGATGGCGCACAAAGCATAGATTATCACTTTAACGAATTCATAGGGAAGGTAGGTAAGTGTAAGGTAACCTACTGAACAGGCATTTTTGTACAATAACAGGCCGTACACTTCAATTATCTCTGTTTGTCAGATGATTCATCATTACACCCATATAAAGAGGCATTTGAAATCATCATCATAAAACTACAATTAGGTTCACACTTTATCTAAATTATAAGGGTCATGAGTTAGATTGACAAGATATTATTTGCAATCCAACGGATATTAAGTAATCATGAGCCCTTTAACCGACCTCGGGCTTCGCAGTGAGAAGGAGGAACATCATAGTGACAAAATGTCGAGCGGGGGGGGGGGCAGAATATTAATTAAGAGGTGTGAAAGAGACGGGCGCACAAAGGCAGAGAAAAGGTAAGAGGAGTACTGTGGAAGGGGTCATGGTAGTTTAAAGTTAGAAGTCAACTGCCGATAAATTGACTTTTTAGCCGTTTAAGTATACGTTGCCCAGGGTGCACCACGTGGAGGCAAGTCTATCGCACACCCCTTAATTATATTAAAATTTGTGGCAATTGGTACAATAGTATAAGCAGGCCACAATCTATTAATAAAAGACCTCGTAATGCTATTGCATTATAATCGGAACAAGTTCACAACTTGGTTTTGCTGCAATTTGATCGAAAATGATAATAGTGCAAAAAATGGGGTGTGCGATAGACTTACCTCCATGTGGTGCACCCTGGACAACGTATACATATACGACAAAAAAGTATATCAATCGTAGTTGACTTCTGACTTCAAACTGCCATCACCCCACTCTATGTCATATTCGACCCCTACCACATTACTCACCTCGCTTTTTTTCTACCTTTGTGTCTGTATCTTCTGCATCGTTGAAACATTTCTGTTCCACCAACCAACTCGAACTTTTCTCTTTGATGTTCCTTCCCCTGTGTGAAGTCTGGAGTCAACTAAAATGCTAATGATAACTATCAAAACGCCTGGCATTTGGCATAAATAAATAAATATTAGTACAAAAATACTCAAACGGAATGATCCTAGGGATCACCCAGATCCTGGAATCTTACAAACAATACTCATTTAATCAAATAACATTAACTTTTTCATGTATTTTTTGAATAAAATACTTGAATTGAATCTTTCTAATAGATTAAATTTAAATTCCTTGATATTTTAAACAGATTCAGCGCATTGTGTTTCTCCTAATTTCGAATAAAGTTCATTCAGAAACTTCGAACTAGCATAGGGTTATATGGACCATATTCTTCATATTAAGTAAAATATCATTGGTTTTAACCTCATTCTATGAAAAATAAAGTTCCTCTCGGTTCGAATAAGTCATTAGAGAACAGTAGTATTTGTCAAGGCCAGGAAATATTTATTTTCAATATGAATACTTATATATTTATGTAATAGTCTCTAACACTTTTTAATCTTTATTATGAACGACAATTAGTTTACTTTATAACTTATATTAACCCAAAACACAAAAATATTTTTGATTAAATATTTTAGATTGACCCCGCATCAATTGATTTGAGTGCTCGCGTGATCTTGTTTTTATTATTTTGTCGGTTAAAATCGAACTGGCTGAATTAACTATATGGAAAAATGCATGGGAGACGTCAATGGGTGGTTTATAGCCATCAAAAAATCCAATCTTCTTTTGATCCAATCATTATCAAAATATCTTGAAAGCATTGATGTCACAACAACACTTACAATCGACCGTTTGGAGGTATATATTACATTCCTTCTGTTCACTATCTTTTAGCACGAAAATGTAACTGGTTTAATTTATGCCGCCTATGTTGGAAATAAAGACGTTGTGAGGTGGTTTTTGTCTCAAAATGCCAACCCTAATGCAACTAGTAGTGTAGGATGTTGAACATTTTATTTGTATTTCTTCTTAAATAGTTGGGTTGGAGACCTATTCATTTTGCTGCTAAACGCGGCCATGTTGCGACAGTTGATATGCTAGTTCAGCAGGGAGCAGAAATCGACGTCTACACAAAGGTAATTGATATAGTTCAACTAATAGAAACATTCAGCAAGATGCAACCCCACTAATGCTTGCTGAACAATCTCGTATGTGGGACACTGTTCGCAAATTAAAACAGTTTGGCGCAACAGATGAAGACAGATCTGATGTGAGCTCAATCAATAGTGACATCTACTAATTTATATCATTCATATTTTATTTCCTACTTGATTTTTTTTCTTCTAGGCTTCACCAATGCTGTCTACCAGGGAAAATGGTCCCGCTAAAAGAAGGAAGAAAAATTTTACCACATCTGAAAGTAAAACGACTTGTGGACCGATATCTCATTTCGATATTTCCCCCAAACACTCCTCTAAGCTCATTATCAAGTATCTGCAGTATCAGAACCATCCATATGATGTTGATCTATCACGAAAAAAGCTTGAATTCACTTGCCAAATGCTTAATCTTCCGTTGCCTTTCACAAGTCGCCATAACTCTCAATTCTACAAGAACTTGAAAAAATTAACCGCAGCTAATTTAAATCATAATATTCGAATAAACGCTGCTGTAGAACTTATGGGGATTCTTAAATCTGCAGCCTCAATGTCAAAGCGCTCAGGTGCTGCTAATACGAAATCTAATAGCTGTCGATCTCTGGAATCGTGTCTGCGGACTTTAGAGTTTTCTGTTTGCGAAAAGCACTGCTCCAATGAACTTATTTCTCTTATTGCTGATATTACTTCTGGTCTCATAATCTTGTTTGATCATAGCGATGACACCAATGCTGCTCTAATTACGTATGTTAGTCGATTAATTCAATGGATGTGCAGAAACAATTCATCTCAATTCAGATCGGGTATTTTAGCCCTTATCGCTTCCATTTTATCGAAGAATCCTCCAACCACGCATATTTCCTCTAAGCTTGCCGTTCCTTTGATCTCCAATTTGATTTCACTCACTGATTCTCTTAATCAGGTTGAAGCTGTCTCTCGTTTGGTTGACGTCGCTGTACTAATTGGCGATTACAATCCAAGGGAGTTTGGCAAACGTTTCAACGATTTGGTGGACATTCTAATTGGTTGGTGTGTGGATTCTTCTGATGCCCATCACAGTATATCCCAGAGTTCAATTCTTAATCAAATTTGTCTCAATTTCTCAAAGTGGTGGTTTTGCGAATCATCGTCTGAGGTTCCTTCCTTTAAAGTTAGTCAATCCACTTGTAGCATGCTGAGTCATCTGATTGAAGATGCTGATAATGCTTTCCGTGAAGCCCTCACAGAGCACTATCAATTGGCTTCCGTCAAGTTAGGTAGACATAGTGGCCGCTCACTACCGCAAAAGGACACGACGCAACGTCTCGTTGCTGCTAAACTTTTCTTCTCCGTTCTGGCTGGAGTTTGTTCAAGTATGCTTAAGTACGCTAATGAGTCAACTCCACCAGGGCATATCGATTTGATCTTCCTTGATCAGCCCGAATGGCATAATCGTCTTCTTAGTATTCTCCAAACACTCGATATGCTTCACTCTTTGAATACTTTCAAACCACCTACTTCTTCGCGATCACATATTCCATTGGCCTATTCTATTCCACTTCTAATTTATGGAGAAATAGTTCGATGTATACATGAAATTCTTCTCTTTACCAACTCAACTGTACCGCTCGAACAGGACTACATCGGATTACACATTGAATCCTACTTGATTCTACCTCTAGGAAACTATATTGTCCAACCGTCATCTCAACATGCTAAAATCCTCTGTGAATTAGCTTTAAGCCATTTGAAAAGGATCGCAAAATGCGGTCATACTGAGGTTCTTCGAGCGATTCGAATTTTTTTTAAATCTAATACTTTTCTCCAACGCTTGAAAGTTTCAAAATGTGGGTCTGCAGAGCTCGTAAATTTGTTGCTTGGTCTGGTAAGGGATTGCGATCTACTGGATCCAGTAATTGATATGTGCTTGTCGGATTTCAAATCAGTCTGTTCTAAACTCTCAAGTGGATCGTTTACTAATTTTGACGAATTGTGCTCACTCTTCACCATATCTCTTTTCAGTGCTCTTTGGAAGGCTTGTTTCGGTCAACCTAAATCAGAGCCTATTCTAAAGAAGGCTGTGAGCAGGTTAAGAAATATTTTAACTGAAATACACATGTCTGAAAATATTCCTCTACGTATTCGTCTTGCCTTTTGGTCCCTGGTTTTACAATTTCGTGATTTGGAGTTGTCAACAGAAGTCGTTGCCATAGCTGAAGAATTGGCTAGAACAGCAACGATAAATTTGCATGAATTAATTTTATTAAATCATGCACTTAAGATGGTGGATAGCACACTAGATACTAACATTTCTCAAGCACTAAGTTCCTATCTCCTTCGTCTAATGCAAAATCCTTGCTCACCTGTTCGAGCAAATTGTGGTGCAGACTTCTGTGAGGCTGTTGGACACCTAATTCGTCTTTGGAAGAACAGAAAACCAAATGAGGCTATTTTCAAGTTGATTTATATGTGTCTAAGCCATCCATTTCCTAGAATACAATCTAGAGGAGCAGATTTGCTTTTAATTTTCGGTCGATCTTTACGATATTTAAGATCACCTCTTACGAAAAATGCTCTGTTTCATTGGTATTCAGACACCGATGTTTGCCAATCAACCGCCCTTGTTACCAATGCATTTATGGGGCAGCTAGATTTAGAGTCTTCAGAAGAAGTAGTGTCGGTGTGCGGTGCATTTCCAAGCGTCTCAGGAACTTCGGGTGTGTTTAACATTATAACCCGAGGTGTCCCTCCATCAGATAACGATTTGACTCGATTCAACGTTCTGGAACATTCGAATGACTATCTTCGAAGACTTGCTTGTCTTATCTCGCCAATTCCAACTTATTCTTGTAAAGCAAATTGGTTTGCCGAGGATATCCCGTCTTTATCGATTATTTCACATTTTACCTCTGCAGCTATTATGGACAACAAGTTGAATGTGGCTCCTTGGACTGATCCGATCAGCACTTTCCTTTCTATTGAGGGCATTGTCCATGCAGTGCTTGCAAATCTAACTGAACGAATAAGAGATTATCCATATGCGAAAGACCTGAAGGCTTTTTTTGATATTCCTGTTGATCTACTAAGCTACCAAACTCCTTCATGGCTGTTGAACCATGGAGGAAAGCTTCTGACATTTATGCGGTCAATAGAGAAGTCCATGATGAATGGAGTTGATGGCTATGCAGCAGCAATGTTGCCATCACCAATTAGAACTCATATCTTTCTCAGAGCTAATGCAGTAACCTGTCGAAAGTGGTTTAATAGAATTAGGATCCCATTGGCTTCTCTTGCCTCCTGGATATCAGGGGTTTCTCTTCAAGGTGTTGAATGCCCGGCCACTGTAGTTTGGAATATCTACTCGATACTCTATCAGACAGTTAGTACGAACCCCCAGGATTTTTTTAATGCGCACAAATTTGTGGATAATCCGGAGAAGATCATGCTCCTGTTGATTCAAGCCCTCCATCAGCTGAAGGCGGTGGATGAACTAGAACTTGTTCATTAGTGAGTCACCTTAAATTTACTTTGTTTATCCTTTACATGGCACCAAAATTTTCCCCTTTCACCTTCAGTATACTGTTAGCTTACGGTGGCGGGTTATCCTCTTTTTTTGTTTTATGCTATAACCTTGGAAATCATGAAAGTTCAATTTTTTTCTTGGTCAACATGGAGCTGACTTGATCTTTTTTATCCTTCACCCTTCGGTCCTCCTTATATTTATTCAACAGCATCTAGACTAATATCAGAATACTTTGGGATCAATAAATCAAAAACTTATTGCGTATCGGAACTTAATTAGTGTAGTGTTCACCCGAAAATTCTTACAATTTTTCATCGGTTTTAATTAATCTCGTTTTGGATCATAAAGGTGTTTTTGTTTGAATGGTGTTCAATTGATTAGGTTGAAGAACATTAAGTTGAACTGTATACTCATCTTTTCCCGATGAATTATTTTGTTCTTCGTTCTCTTTCATTTCCGTTTTCCTCTTCACTCCGTTATCTTTGTGCAATTTAAGTTGGTTTTTTTATCCTGGCTTTTCCTATTTTCGATGTTAAACTGCTAATCGAAAGTCGTAGTCTACGACAAGTCCTTTCCAGAAAGTCTCTTAACTGCTAGTTCCATTGTTTCCAAAGCTAGTGGTTTGGTGAATTTTTAAAAGTGTCTTACTGGTAAGTGCAATAATGAAGCCAATTTTAATGGATTTGTTTGTTTTTGCATATTGTCCTAGATTGAGGCCAGTGTGTCGATATCAGCTGGAATAACTTTTACCATGTTGCATTAAGATATAAGCGTTTATGCTGTAGTTTTATGTGAACCTTCATTTGTGTTTAATGGATGTTTGCCTATTTTGGAGATGAAATTATAATCTACGTGCAGTTTCCTTTAAAAGGAGTTGAAAGGCCATTGTTTGTTTCAGGTTGTTGTGAATGGGGGGGGGGGTATTGTAAAGACTAAGAATTCAATCTGCGTTAAATCTTTAAAATGTATTAATAGATAGGGTAGTTTTAGATAACGAAGTTTGAATTATTTCGTACAGTGTATTGAAGAACTTTAATGTTTACATGTGCTACGAGTTCCTTCAATGGAATAAATATTTATATTTTGAAGACGAGTTTCTTTTGTTTGGGATTCGGATTAAAGTTACTAATCCTTTTCTCTGTTGCTTTTTTCTGCCAATAAAAGTCAGAAGTTAGTTACAATCAGCAAGTTGTTTTGCTTTTGGTTAGTTTCCAGAAAATAAGTCTTCCTCCTCCAACTTGATTTATTGAAAATTCATTTAAGAGGTTTTTTTGTAAATAATAACTATCTATTTCAGCTTCTTGGAGGGTTTGCCCTTGAGTGCACCTACTTCAGATCTGCACATTTTCAGTTGGATTCGCGGATTGGTGCAAATTCTTAGAGGCAATCTCGATGAAGGGATTGCCTTTCTATTTCACTTCTTCGAGGTATTTTCAACACCGCTACCGAATTCATTTGGAGCTTTGTCCTATCACTTTGCTTGCCGCACCTTCACCAATCTCCTTTTGCGTATTGGGGGTTGCACGGAAACTCAATCGGATACAAAAAAGGCTGATGTTGTTGATGATCAAGGTGATGCCCCGCCAGTTATTTCGAGACGCAGGACACTTTTCAAGAAAGATGTGGAGGTTTCAGAGCAATTTCTATTTCGTCAACCGGATGTGGCGAGACGTAGAATTAAGGCACTTGAAAAGCTCTCAAGGTCAATTAATTTTTTATGTCATTGCTATTGCTCACGACACACCAGAAAATCTCAACGTTTCAATTTTGTTGATATACTTCAATAAGTGGAATTGCAAGCGGGCCCAGTATATTATGAAACAGAGGAGGGGGCAATAATTTGCTGTTAATTAAGTCAGGACATCGCAAGACCTGCTCTACTTGAATTCAAGACCACCACTTTGTTCATAGTTTCAAAGGCTGAGAGCCCACTTTATGATGTCGTAATATTCCTTTTTTATCAGTAGTCTCTCAGACTATGCCAGTTATATACAGAGCTAATTTGTCAGTTGATTATTTCCCTAATTGGTAATACCACTCCACTAAATTAATTTTTCTAGCCAAGTTATGAAATTAAGAGAATTTTCATTAAGATGATTGTGGTTTCGATTTTAAATATGTTTATATTCATTCAATTTCGGAATTTATGCGCATTTCCAAATGTTTGTAGTTGGGATAATTCAATGCCTGAAATATCCAAGCCTGCGGAGGCCCTTGCATCCTTCATAACAGATCAGGAGGACAGGCTACTCACACGCGCCTCAAACTTCCTCTCTGAAGTGACACTAGTCACTCGTAGTCATGCCGCTGCGGTCATTCCACTAATCGATCTTGGCAACTGTTCTCTAGAGTCTTCAATCTCTTCTCTACACTTAGATGCCGAGTCTACTCTTCAAACCCTTGCTGCAGAGGCTGATCTACTTGTGGCAAAGTCTTTAACCCCTTGTCCGCCAATTATTGATCTTGATCTTGGCACCTGGAGTCTTTTGACCAAAAAGGACATCAGCCCGTCTGTCTTTCTTGATGCCTGTGAGCCCCTTTTACTCCCACCTAATGGTGGTATCAACCGCCTACCAGTTGACAATGCAAGAGGTGTGGCTTCAAGGCTTCTTAAACACCGGTTCAGAGCTATGGGTATTAAAGATGATCTATACGACTTTGCCAATCTAATAACCTCAATCAAGTCGCGTGAAGATTTGGGACCGGATGATAAACTCCGCTTCATTCGATATGTAGCCAATCTCCTATGGACAGCTAGTGATACGCGCACCAATCGTATTGCTGCTATGAAGTGTCTTTCAGAGGGATTATTGTATAGCATCACATCAGAGTCTATTATTAAAAAGGAAGAAGAGGAACTTTGTCAACTGAATGTCTCTGTTGCTCTTCAGCTGTTCGAGTGTTTGGGCTACCCGTCTTCAATTCAAACTTCTTCCACGGAAATCAGAAACCTTTGTCATGAAGTTGTGGATTTAATAACGAATGAACAGGCAAGTATTGCTACTTATTATTCAAGGTAAAGGAACGTTTTTATTAATATCCATGACCAGTCATGACTGCAATTTTTCTCATGGGAAAGCATCGTATCAATAACCCCACTATTGGATGTGGATCGAAAGTTGGATTAGAAATGAGAATCAAAGCTAAATAAGAATCCATGATTGTTGGATTGAAGTTACACCCTTTTACTTTTTGTATGTTCATTATTTCACTGCCTAATGCTGTAGTGTCTACTTTTCGAAACTTTTCCCCTTTGAAATCGTTTAGTATTGATTAATTTGGATCGAATAGGTTTGTCAAATGATTAAGGTACAGATAGTTTTGCTAAACACTGTTGTGTTTATTCTTGAACTCCTCTAGCAGGTTTTAATCTAGTAAATGCATCTCAAATTTTTGAATGTAAATCATACCAAAAGAGCAGGTCACTTATAGGTGTACGTGGAGCATTTCTTGGCACTTCGGGATGGCTTCTAAATTTAGTAAATGAGTCACTAAGATGTTCTCTTATCCTGGAGTGTGCGATAGATTTACCATCACTTCACCGCATGTCATATTCGACTACTTCTACATTACTCACCTCGCCTTTTTTCTAACTTTGTGTCTGTATCTTCTACATCTTTGAAACACTCTTCTGTTCCTCCAACCAACTCGATTTTCACTTTGATGTTCCTTCCCCTCTGTGAAGCCTGAAGTCAACTAAAATGCTAATGATAGCTATCAAAACGCCTGCCATTTGATATAAATAAATAAATGCTCTCTTATCTAAAATTATTTGACCCCTGGGTTATTTCGTGTTTGATGTTCAGTGCTTGCTGTGACTAGTTATGTCAAATCTGTTTTAATGCCAGACATCACCTGATCCCAACTGGATAAAATAATGAAACGTGTGTTTTAATAATACACTTATGAAATAAACATTTACTTTGCTCCATATTTCAAAAGATCTTC